TCCTATTTCCTGTAAGGCAGTTTTTTTTTTCCAACTCCTTCTCATCTACAACTAGTGACTGTGTTAATCTATATCTACTGTTCGCAAACATAATCTCATTGATTGAGTGTTCAACCAGCAATAACAGGCCCACATCAACGATAGCACACACTGTATATAAATCTTATTCAAAGTTACTGATCAAAGTGATTGCTGTTTGTTTGCAAACACTCCAGACAAAATACAAAATCTATGATTACAAATGTTTTTTTGTATTTATGCATCGTGTAGAGAAGAACTGTGAATGTCTTGTGCCTGTCCAAGGCGGCCTGATCCATGTATACTGTGTGTACATATCTCTTTTCCCTAAACCTCTCGGTCCCTTTTATAGAAAATAATCTGTATTTTTTTTAAAAAGTGCTTGATTATTTTAAGAACCACCGGGTTGAGGAGGCGCTGGCTCTCAGCCACTGGCCGACTCCGTAATATGGTCCTGGAAAGTGCAATAAAATCTTGTTAACTCTTAAAGAATAATAATCATTTGATCTCTTAAAAGCAAAATTGTGATTTGTTATTTATCTCTGACGTTCATTAAATTATTAAGAGAAATCTTCATCTTCCGACATCTTCCTCATGATGACATTGTTTTGCCCCGATTTAGGTTTTTACAACAGAAGATGCATTTTCAAGCCTGCTGAAGATAACAATGAAAAAATAAGGCAACACACAGCTCTAGATAATTTTCTTCCATATTTGGAAGCGTTACTTTTTTGTTTTGTATTTTTTATGTGTAATTTATTTTCATGCCACTGCTACTGTGTAAAAGAGTTTGATTTACATGATCAACTGAAATATTGAACTGTAATCTGTGTCAGAAATGGCAAATAAAATCTCCAAGGTCAAGGAAAGTGTTCTGTTTTTGTTTGCAATGCATTCCCTCTACCTTCAAAGTTACCTAAGACGAATTTATATGTGACGGTAGGACTGCAAGTAAAGATTATTTTCACTATTAATCAATGTTACGCATTAGTCAATTATTTGTTTGGGCGACAAAAAGTCAGATAAAAATACTGGGAAAAATGTGAAAGCCAAAATAATAGATTTTCATATTTCCTGTTTAGGGTTATTAGGTTTATTATCACATTTAATAAAGACATAATGCAATTTAAGCAAGTGGCAGGCTGTCATTTTTAAGTTAATCAATTAATAAAAAAAACTGTTTAGAGCTACAAACATTTCATTGATAACTATTTTGAAAGTTAAGTGATAGATATAAAAAGTAAAGTATATAAGTTACTACTGCCAGATTCCAAAGTGTGAATATTTACTTTCTTTCTTTCTTGTTTCTGTCAACGGGCTGGACAGAACACAAAATATCTGGACATATATTTTAAGGTTTACTTTAGTATTTGTTACACACTGTACTTATCGTACAATATTGTTAAATATCTTCCACAGTTAATAAGAGAAGCAACGTCAGCTTAACTTTAAGTTTTCTACTGTTAAAGAGACTTCTTGTTATTTCAACAACATCTTCTACAGCTGATTAGAGAAGTAACATCAGCTTATTTCAAACTTAACAATATCCTCTTCGGTTATAAATAAACATTATTGTCTCAACGGTATTTCCCACAGTTTGTCTACCGTTAAAAAGAGAAGGACATTTATAGTCATAGTATCCTCCGAAGTTAAAAGTTAGCTTGAACTTAGTCGCTGACCTGTTCAAGCTAAACACGCAGCTAGCTTTTAAAAATAAAGACTGTAAGATTGTGCGGTTTCGCGTATTTATTCATGATCTGACACGAGCCCGGTGTTTATCGAACATCGCGGTTCACGAGTTCAAACAACACGCGTTCGTTCCGCTCACCTGTCGCGCCAAACGGGAGACATGCGTCGCGCATGCGCAGAGGCCCCACACGCACCGCCGCTTCCTGCCAGATAGTGGTCCCTAACAACAGACAAAGCTTGAGTCTGTGGCTCCAGATGAAGACGCAGATTTAACAGACGCTCGTCCTTCGCTCCTTCGATGGTGAGGCCGCAGCGGGTCCCCGGTGTGCGTCGAGGGCTGTGCGGGGTGGAGGGAGGGGGTTGGTTTCCTCTGTTAGCTCCGCCGCTAGCCGCTGCGCTCACACGCTGCCATTTCTGTGCCCACTCCAATGGCTACAGGTCCCGACTAATCTCTGGAGCGGGAAACTTTCATGGGCCGGGCCAAACTAAGTGCAGGCGGCTGCTCAGTCCCCGTCGCGGGGAGCTAACCCCGTTCGCTAGGTGATCTGAAGCTACCTGTGTTTTTTAAAAAGGTAAACCGCAGGTACAAGGCGTAGTAACACAGTTAGCATTTGGATGCTAACGTTGCTATTGGAAAGCTGGATCGGTGGCGTCTAAATGCCGGGGTACTACGTTTTGATCGGTGCCGTTGGTTTTGGCGATGCATCAGTGAATGTGTCTCATTTACATTTAACGCGACGCGTTGTTCAGATCGTAAATCGAACCCCGGGGAACTGCTGCTTCCAGAAATCAGTCCGGTGTCAGACTTCACCTTCACCGCAAAGTGTCCTCGGCTCGGTTATGTGCTGGAAGACATGCCGATGAAGACACGAGTGTCGGGAATAGACGAGAGGGGTTGAGCAGCGTGTTTGTGACCATCGGCCTCCTGCCCAGGCAAAGTTTTGTGTATTTAATACAACAGAGATGATTGTTGTGCACAATCAGACAGTTCGATCCATTTCTCTGTGTTAAAGCTGCAGAGATCAGTCAATTAATCGATTAGATGATCGACAGAAAACTGATGGAGAACTGTTTCGATAACCGAACAGTCCCTTTAATCACTTGTTAAAACGCAGAGATGCTGAATATTTCCTGTATTAACTTCTCCAGTGTGAAGAGTCCGTGTTTATTTTGTTGATCATGAACTGATTTGGATTGTTGATGAGCCAAAACAAGACATTTAATTGATAAAATGCTTCTGTAACCTGAATATTATTTGAGGTGTCACGCATCAAGGTCAGTTTAGTTAAATGTTTCTAATAATGTAAAAACAATGGCTATAGTGGCAGTAAAGATAACATTAGGGCTACAGCAAATACATTTTTTTCATGAATAACTGATATTTATCTGTATATAATAAGAAAGTTAATTGTGAAAACTGCCCAAGATCACATACTCTGACATCAGATTCATGATGTTTCCCTGGTCTGTGGTTTCCTTCTGCCCCGATACTCCTCCATTTTGATGAAGACAGACAACACTTGAAGCGAAGGTTCCTGTATCAGGGCAGTGATATTCCTCAGGTGACACTGGATGACGGAGCGGCTTGGTTACTGATGCTGCACAGGCTGCGGTCCACACACAGTTAACTCAATTACACGGGCACGGGTTGATGTAGTGATTGGCAGCTGCAGGGGAGGTATGACAGTAAAAGTAATTATTTGCAATCGTAATTTGTTCGAAACATCGCCTTTGTTGCTTTACAAATTGTAAATTTGATTTACTACTTAACCAACTACTTATTCAAATAAGCTCTTTGTAAGTTTTATTTTTAAATCATCACTTGCTGCTCAAGACTGAACATTTTTTTACAGTAACTATGAGAAAATAAAGCGTTGCAATGATTCTCTTCTTGATTTCTTTTTTCCTCTTGTAATAAATATTCTCTTTAAAGTACCATATTGATGAACAGTCTTTGTAGGAGTAGTAATCTTGACGATTCCCGTCCCTGGCTGTGTAGATATTTATTTTATCACCTTTTTAAAGTTTTTTTTTTTTAGAGCAAATTATACTTCTACAGGCTAGAATATAAGTATGTGGGTTAATTTATTCACCTGTGCAACATCCACTGGGGATATTTTCCTTCAAATCTTATATGTTTTTAGTTCACCGATGGTCCAGCCACTTCAGGTGCACACCTTTGATACAGAACGTGCACCACTAACAACTGCCTGACAGATTCGTAGGATTTTGAATATGCCGTCTGACCTATTTTCTCTTTCTGTCTACGTTATGTCAGTTAGATAAACGTGCCGTCTCTCCAGCCAAGGGGAAAGGCCAGTTGAGCGAGCAGTGGACAAAACGAGGTTAGATCTTATCCCCCTGTGACATCTATTGATTCGACAGCTTGCACCTGAGCACTTAATGCTTCTGGAGAATATGTTTTCATTGAATTTAGGGTCGGTCACATGTAAGGTGGCACAATTCCTTAATCCCGCTGCAAACACAAGCATGGTGGGGACATTGAGCAGCGTAAGGCTGACATGTATCTCACCTGCAAGTCTCGTGCTGGAGATTAGACCAGGGTGTCCCGTTTCCTTCATTGCCGCCACCTACCCGCTGATCATGCGTGCGATAGTGGGTGGGGTGTGCATCGATGGGACAAGGGGAGGGGGGACATCACGCATCAGAAAACTACATAAGGCATAACCCCTGGCAGTTCATTCTTTGCCTTTGTGTTTCTTGCTCCTGTGGTTGTGTACAGGGTCCGGACAGGCTTTTTAGCTAGAGGGAGTCGGCTGAGCGTGCAGACATGTCGGGTCGCTCCGCTGCAGAGATGGATGACTCGCAGGAGCTGCCTGAGCTGCCGGTGAGTCCACACAAAAGAACGTTACATAAATTATTGTGCCACAAATTTAACTTATTTTTTGTCTCATAAATGCGTAAAGTCATGAATTTCAAGTTAATCAAATATAGGTTGTGCAAGTTCACATCTTGTAGTTTCATAGGACTCGAATAAAGACGAATATTTTGATTATTTTATTATCTTGCGCTACTCACCAATAATGTTCTTGTAGCACGACGCTTCAAGTTGTAGCTTTAGATTTTCTTTTTTCAGTCACTGAGGGTTGGTATCAGACTTCAGTTCAACTGGAAAAGACTCTGAACATGTGCCGTGTTGTCTGTCGTGGTCAAATCTTTGACAGTAATTTAACAACTGAAAATACAAAATAGTTGCCAGTTATTGTTTCTCTAAGAAGAATTAAAAAATGTTCTATATATATATATATGTTTAAATGCTTAAAATGTTTTAAGTTATTATTATTTTCATCATTTTTCACTTGTTTTGTGTGTGTGTGCAGGTAAAGAAAGCCAAGCTTGAGATTGATGGTGGACTGGAGAAAGATTCCAGGTTGTTCATTTATTTTAAATCTATTTCTTATCTTTTGATTCTAATGAATATTCATTACCAGTAAATCTTGAGTTTTCAACATGCTATTCAAACATCTTACCACAGTGGTTTGTTTATCTGATGTGCCCTTTTTTTTTTCCTAATTTACTTTTAGTTTTTAGATGACTTAAGGGAAGCTGCAGAAATTGTATATTATTATAATTGACTGTGCATTTTCCAGTACTCTTGGGAACGATGGGAGTCCAGCTGCTGTTTTAGGTTCTTCAGAGCAGGAAAACTCGTATTCTGCACTGTCGACCGCTCAGCTTGATCCAGGTATATAGAAAAAAAAAAGGCTTAGGGCAGACAAAAATGTTCCTGGAAAATAAGCTGTTCACTAAATATCTGTCTTTGATCACAGGTGATCAGGAGCATTCGGACATAGACAGAGGAGCAGCATCTCAAGACTGTGGCGACACAATGAACTCATATGCACATTCTGGTGTGTAACACTGTCTGGACAACACATTGAAGCACAACAACCACTCACCTGTCAAACTGACACTGTTTGTTTTGGTTTTTTAACAGCTACAGACTCAACAGCCACTTCTGAATACACCCAACAGGTTTATCAAGGAAGCAAGTGAGTACACTGCATTGAACAAATGACAATCTCCTTATCACTTATCACGTTTTAATGTGGCACAGACGTGAAGAATGTTGAAAGGTGAAATGATGCAGAGCTGGCTGGAGGCTACATTTAACGAAGGTGATGTAACACACCTGAATCCTCGAGTGAAGTGGTTTTGGGAAGTGTAGAATGAAAGGGGGTTTTAACCCTGTTATATGAATGTGATCTAAATCAGTGTAGCTGGTGTAAATTTATGACTAAAGCTAATTTGATGGTGAGGAAACTGCAGTTTAATCAGAAAATGCTGCTGTAGTGACCAGACTTCTGCTGCATCAATAGAGAAACCATCGTCTGGAGAGTTAATAGAAAATATGTTGCGGTTGCAGCTGTGTTTGATGCAAATGTACCTTTCTCTGTCTCTATCCATTTCAGTCCAGCGGTGACATCGTACACCGGTCAGATGGCCTTTCCTCCTCTGGTCCAGTCCACTGTGTACTCGGCCTTCCCCCAGACAGGCCAAACCTACGGCCTCCCACCGTTTGGTTAGTCTCCCCCTTCTCTAACCGCCCTTTTTTTTTTTTTTAACACCCTTTGCTCACTAAACCCACAATCACTCCGCAGTTTATTTGCTTTAAAAGCCTCACTGTGCTTCGGTGCTCTGGGCTCAGTTTGCTTTTGATCTCTGCTTAAACGCACAAGGCCCACACATCCTGACTGGTTTCTTAACTTTGCCCTAGTCTTCGATGACCCACTCCTCTTGCCGCTTCTTACATTTTCTGCTTCCATTGCTCTCTTCCATCTTCAGGTGCTATGTGGCCAGGCATAAAAACTGAGACAGGGCTGCCTGAGGCACCCTCTGGTGGCCAGCCTGGGTTTCTCAGCTTCAGCACCACATATACCTCAACCCAGCCAGGCCAGCTGCACTACTCATACCCCAGCCAAGGCAAGCTGCAACCTCACTCTGCCTCACAAGATAACGCTGTCACACTCCCTGCAAATAGGAGAAGCACTCGAACATAAACGAGTTTGTCCTTGCAGTAGCACAGCTCCGTTTTCCTCTGTCACTTCAATCACTGTGTAGAAATGTTTTTTTGTTTTCCTCTGGCACTGTTTTACATGAGTTCTTTTTGTCTCCAGGCTCAAGTTTTACAACATCTAGTGTGTACTCCAACATCCCCTCAGCTACAGCCACCACCACAGCCTCCACCACAGTGACCCAACAGGTAGGGCCTCTGCTGGTGTGACTGTTAAAACTCTGTAGCTGTTTCGTCACATGTTTGTGTTCACAGCACATCAAAGATGGAGGGAGAAGAAGATACTGCCTCAGTCATAATCTTTATTTTTGTATTGACAACACAAATCCTTACAGATGCATTGTTTTTATAAATTATTAGCTATGCACGATAGCATATTCAAATTGTATATCCCATCTCTGTATTGAAATCACGTTCTTGTTTTCTCTTCCAACTCTTGCAGGAATTTAGCAGCTACAACTCTCTGGGTCAGAGTCAGTTCTCTCAGTACTACACTCTGCCTCCCAGCTACGTCCCCGCCGGGCTGGCCAGCAGTGACGAGCAGGGGGCGGGTGTGGCAGGATATTCAGCTGTGAAGTCAGAGGAGGCCGCCTCAGCTGGACTTCCTCCCAGAGGTGATTTCAGCGCTTCACTTTACATGATTAACCCTCCTCTATTAAACTCCTTCATAACTCTGGTCTGTATTTATTTTAATCCTTTGTGACCACTGATCACCGCTTGACGGAGACAATTTGATAAAGTCTAACATGAGTCATCATTTGCTCTGTTATCTCATGCTAAGATGCCTCTCCACCAGAGAACCTCCCAGTAGGAGCAGCTCTCCCCATTAGCGTGGCGCTCCCTGCTGATGCCAGAGAGCAGGATGAGGTCGGACGCAGGAACTCGGTTGGTAAATCTAAAGGGAAAGGCAAGAAGTCTGACAACTCCCCACCAGCTGACAGTGACCTGGAGGTAACCACGCAGATTAGTGTAGTTTAGAGTAGAAGTTAGTCTTTACCTTTTTCACAACAATGAAAATATGTTTTCACTTCTGCTTTCAGCGTATTTTTCTGTGGGATCTGGATGAGACCATCATCATATTCCATTCACTGCTCACCGGCTCCTACGCACAGAAGTTTGGCAAGGTTTGTTTCTGTAAAAACAAAATACAACGTGAAGTGAACAGTGTGACGCGGTTTCCAGCCTGAACTCATGTCGTTCGTTTTCTGGTGTTTGCACAGGACCCAGCGACGGTGTTGAACTTGGGTCTGCAGATGGAGGAGCTGATCTTTGAGCTGGCCGACACTCACCTTTTCTTCAATGACCTGGAGGTACAGTGACGTGTGTATAGAAGAGGCTGTTATTTTAAACCAGTAAAACTACTCCAGTCACGCTGCCAGGTTAACATTCAGCAGATTTCTACTCTAATTAGCTGCTACAATCCTCAATCCTGTTTGCATACTTTAGTTTCTGCCCATTTATGTTTGTATATTTACCTGTGAAGTCTCGTAGTTTTACGTTTTAATGTTATATTTTAACCATTTAGCCACTGATGTTGAAATACATGATTATTCTCTTTGATTTCTTTCAGGAATGTGATCAAGTTCATGTTGAGGACGTGGCTTCTGATGACAATGGACAGGAACTGAGGTGAGTTACATACTGTTCTTCATACATCAGCCTTATTACGGAACTTTGATCTGTCAAGTTAACCAACAACTTCTCTGCTTTTCAGCAACTACAACTTCTTGGCCGATGGCTTTAATGGGCCCAGTGGTGGAGGAGCAACAGGAACCACATCAGGAGTCCAGGGAGGAGTGGAGTGGATGCGTAAACTGGCCTTTCGATACCGCCGGCTAAAAGAGATCTACAACAGCTACAAGGGAAATGTTGGAGGTCAGTTTGTATGAAGGAATAACAGAGACTCAAGTCTTTGTTTACAGACTTTTCTGTGTGTTTAACACTTCATTGTTAAACACTATTAAGTCAGAGTTCAAGGTTGAGCCAGTTAAGTTTGTTAAACCGGTTTTGTAGAACAGGACCCTGGAGATTCAAAGGGAAGAAACGCGAGAAAAATAAACTCAGTGATCGCCACGACAGAGCATAGTTTCATTAGATAAAGACTGCAGCGTGTTAACATACTGTTCCTGACGGGGATGTCTACACCTTGTTATATTTAGGATGTGTACTTACAGAGAACTAAATAAACTGAATCTTCTGCATGGATGCATGTTATTGTTTTCCAGATCTGTTGAGTCCTATGAAGAGGGAGCTGCTTGTACGACTTCAGTCTGAGATCGAGAACGTAACGGACGCGTGGCTCAGCACAGCGCTCAAGTCTCTGCTGCTCATCCAGTCCAGGTCAGAGGGCAGCGTTGTTACTGTCAGTGTTGGTCTTCATTAATCATACTGTGAAGCAGCGTGTTCTGTTTTTGTCCTCACTGGCTGACACTCGTTTTTTCACTGTTTACACACGCTCATCCAGGTTTGATGATTTAGCCTGAGGCAACAAGCTTAAGTTAGACAGCCACTGTGATAAAACCACAGGTTTGGCTTTGAGCCTCCGCAAACGTATAGTGTCAGTGTTGTTTATCTTTGTCAATGAATACATCCTAAAACTACCTGTGATAATCCTAACCATAGAACTTTGGAACTGAACACTATAGTTTAATCAGTGCCAGAAACACAGAAACGCAGAATATTTAATACTTTTTCATCTTTAATTGATGTCTTGATTCCCTCTACCAGGGGGAAGTGTATGAACCTGTTGGTCACCACCACTCAGCTTGTTCCCGCTCTGGCAAAAGTCCTGCTCTACGGCCTGGGGGACGTCTTCCCCATCGAGAACATCTACAGCGCAACGAAAATAGGTTCGTAGAGTAATACAAAGCACGACATTTATTTTTTGAATGTCGTGTTTCAGAGGCTCTTGTTGTGCTAAAGTCAGTCATTTTCAGAAAAGCCGTTTTTTTCCCCCTTCATGCAGGAAAAGAAAGTTGCTTTGAGAGGATCATTTCTCGCTTCGGGAAGAAAGTTACTTACGTGGTGATCGGTGACGGTCGAGACGAGGAGTTTGCAGCAAAACAGGTAGATTTAAATTGACGTGTCTCTTCACTATCTCCGTCCATTAGTGTCAGTCAGACGTTTCTTTTCTAAATATTGTTCTTGTCTGTCTCTCTGTAGCACAACATGCCTTTCTGGCGGATCTCCACTCACGGCGACCTCGTGTCCCTGCACCAAGCGCTGGAACTGGACTTCTTGTAAAGGAGCGGCTACGTTGAATGGCGCGCGCTAAAAGGGAAAATGTAGCCGTCGTCCTGTTGGCTCATGGAGTGGCACTGCGTGAAAAAATCCTTCAGAACCCCAACAATACACACTCGCATTTTAGAAACGCCTGTCCGCTCTCACGGACGACGAATGACTGGGTGTGTGATGGTAGATGTACTGAGACGGACTTTGGGTCGGAGCTGACTGTGAGTAACAGACTGGACGCAGCTGTCGGCTGAATTAAGGTTCCTCACGTCTGGCACTCCCCCTTCGGCAGCTAACCTCACCACGGCTGAGACTGGCACTGATTTGGAAACAGAAGGGAAAACAGATTTTAACTTTCTCCTCCTCCTCCTCGGTCTTTGGCCTCATTTTCTTTGTTTAATATGAAAATCTCCTGCAGCAAACGCTCTCCTCTTTATTTTTATATTTCCTTTTCTTTCTGGACATTAACAACCAAAGGGCCATTCTTCTTAAACATCGTTCTCCTGAGTAGTTCTAGCTTTTTATTTAGACTCTGTGTTCTTTGAAAGAATAATATCAACGCCAACATTGGGCGGTTGTGCACTCGTTCAAAGACTTCAAGTCATTTTGTAGTTGCCTTTGCAAATCACTGACCTTCAAGTTACTGACCGTCGTCAAGAATCAAATAATAACGTATGTTTTTTTTTTTTTATTTAGCGTAGCCAGTCTGATTTTGAGCACAAGGTACGTGTTGGGATTTTTTTATTTTAAAGAAAAGACGTCTGCTGCTCCCCTGATCAAACCACACGTCAGTCAGCTGAGCTCCTCGCTGTGTTTCAACCCCCAGTGTGTGTGTGTGTGTGTGATATGTGGTCAGCAAGCATGTGCCGAGGATCACAGGTTTCTAGACGTGCTCTTGGATGAACAAACACTTCTTCACCACCATCCTCAATGTATTTCAACCTCTCCCAGCTGTTAGACAAGTGCGTCCATCAACAGCATTCTCAGAAATCAACTAGTGTGCTTCATTTTGTCTCTTTCCCTGTGTGAGGATAATATCCGTATATTAGAACCTGCTTCAAATCGATAATGTAGTAGAATAAGATTTATTTCCCTCCGTCTTCTTTCTTAAGCTAAGTGATATAAAAAGCCGTCTTTTGCCTGAAAATTTCTTTGACATGAAACTGATAACCGTCTCCGCTCGTGGCGTTTTGGAGACGTGTGGTTTTCACAGGACGACGACAATTATCTGTAACATTTCCTGTCTTTTGGTCCCAAGTGTCCTTGAAATCCCACGAGGAGACGAACTTCGATCAAAAATTTAAAAGAGGTGTTGAGATGAGTGTATCGTATTTATCGGTTTCATAAATCATTTAGCGTTGACGTGGTTTTAAGATGTGAATAAGGATAATGTGACCCTGCAAACTATCACACTTGATCCACATCTGAACGCTCGAGTGTTTTAAGACGGAGAACGTGTGAAGCGAGGGCTAGATTTCTGAACTCCAGAGCTCAGTTAAGAGAAGGGAGGTCCTACATGATTTAATACAGATTTCATTTCAATATTCTTTTGGGTTGTTGTTTTTTTTTTTGTGGCTACAAAAGCAGAAATGCATTGTTGATGAAATTGACGATCATTTTACCTAAAAGTAAGTTGCGTATTGTTTACATTGGCGTTTTCTCAGCTTCTCTATCAGGTTATATGTTATTTAGCTGTCGTTTGTTTTAACAGTTATTTAAAACTATGGATGCAACTGTTATTTTCATAATCAATTGATAAAAGGTTCTCACATCGTTTTTGTCTAAAGCAGTTATTTAGATTTATTAGCAAATATTTTGATCATCGATTTATCTTAAATCAGGAGATCTGGCTCCAGCTTCTCAGATGATGGTGATAACATCCAAATAGTTGCCGACTAGTCACTTCAGTTTGTTAATCCTTTAAAACTACTTCCCCCACAATGACTTGTACCGCTTTGAATTTTCATCACGGCGACCCACAACTTCTTGAAGTCGTACCCGAAGCGGGGGGCGGGGCAGCGTCGACGACTGTGCAATACATTTCTACTTTGCTCATTAACTGTAATTCAAAGGGATTATTTTTTTCAGCTGCTTGTTGAAAATGGCGAGGGGAGTGGGAGGTGGCAACAACTTCCCTGAATCTGAGATTACGACTGAACAATACTGAGCCCGAAGAAGATTTTACACACATGCAGCTCGACCGTTACGAATGTGTATTTCTGTGTTACTCGTTTGTGTCTCGTGTGACTGTTCATATTTATATTGTGCCTTTTAACCATCATCTGTACGCATAATCTCAAAGGGAAATGTGTGTAAGAGTTTGTGTTTGATACATATATCACTGCATTGTTATACTATCCAAAGTGTTATTTTTCTTTTCATCCAATATTTCTTTTTTGTTATTGAGTTAGACTTTTTCATTGAACTGTCCTGTCTGCACTGTATTTAAAAAGGTCTCCTAGAAAAAGAGCGTTTGGTGTTGATTGCTCTGTGTCTGCGCTAATGGATCCCAATCGTTTTTGACAGTTTCACTGGTGAAAATCTAATTTGTCAACAGTCACATCAGCCTTTAAGCCTCTTTTTTTTAAAGGAGTGTTTATTTTGCTGCTGTGAAAACACTGCATTGCTTAGACAATCACAACCTGTCATACATGGTGGTTTTTTTTTAATGCAGGTCGGATTACGATAGAGAGAGGCACGTTTTAAGAGGCCGTGCTTTTCGATCGTTCGGTGTCGTACCGCCGAGTCTGAGGGAGAAATGGGATCATTAGCCCTGACACACATTTGAGAAACCATGAGACCATATGCAATCTCTCCGTATCTCTTTCTTTACTTTGCATGCCTTGTCATGGCCTTCAAAAACGACGACCATGCAACATTTAAGGGTCTATATTCTTAGACGTGTCCTCTTTTTCTTTTTAATGCCAAATACTGTTGTTGATTTTGAAATGCTGTCTTGTTTATTTTTCTATCTTTTTTTAAGTATTTCATCTCATTTTCAAGGACTTGTGAGGCTGCGAGTACAGAGCCTGAATGTGACCCTGTAAACTGAACCCTATCATCATCATTAATGCTAATTTAATTACAACAATCACTATTTTCCCCTCAGTCCCTCGACACAGTCCTGTAAGGTTTGTCTGAACCTGAGACTCTCAAAACGATGTAAATAAATTTTAAAGTTTCAGACTCAAGTTTGTCTTTATTATTTGTTTGATATAAACCTATAAATCTGGGTGTGCGAACTGTTTTATCCATAACCATGATGATAGATTGGAAAAGACACAATAACAACATCAGTGGAACAACGGTAGCAGACAGTCTGTGGACAGGAACACCACAAAGTGCCTGCGAGGATGAAGCCGCCTCGACTTGGACCTCAGTGGTGTCTCATGAGTTTGAATCAGCGTGTGAACAGGTCATAGTCCGTCCCACACTCAGCCCTGTGACCTCAGTGAAGCAGACGTCTGCATGACTCATGTCTCTCTCCAACCTCAAGTCCTGTGTGGATGTCAAGTGACGGCCGGTCAGGAGTAGAAGTTCTCAGCCATCTTCCTCATTCTTTTATTGCAGCGGACAGCGGTGGGCGGTGGTGGGCTGGGCGCGCAGCGATCTGTAACATCTATATGTGACAACCCCCTCAAGACGACGATCTGAGGCACGGCGGAATATGAAGCATCTGAGGGGTCGTCCAGCATTCTGTCCACCTCGTCACGAGAAGGTGATTGATCCACTGGTACCACAGCTCCATTGTTGGTCGTCTCAGCCGTGACCCTATTTAACTGCTCTTTGCTGAGGTTTGGGTGGAAGCGCTTGTAATAAATGATTTTAAATAAGAGGCCAAGGACGTAAACAGAAACGACACTGACAGCTGTGATTAGAGGATAAAAGAGGGATGTTCCACAATGAGATGGTTCTGTTGTAATCGTCCAGCACCACAGGCTGCAGAGGAGGGAGACATCCAGCAGTATGTAAGTGTGGTAGAGCAGAGTCCTCGTCCTCGTCCTCCCCTCCGCCACGTTAAACCAGGAGAAATACCAAATGAGGCCCACAGTGGCTCGGTAAAGCCACTCTGCACCGGGGGTATCCATGAAGCTGGTCTTGGATCTCCAGGCGAAGAAGAACAAAACCAGCCAGGAGCAAAAGAAGTGGCTGAAGATGAAGCAGGGCAGCACGGAGGCGAAGAGGGCGAGGGCGACGAGGCGAGACATGAGGAGGAACAGGTTCCAGAGGAAGTAGACCACCGAGGAGATCACCTGCTGGTTCTCCTTTTCGGGCAGGAAGGAGCGCAGGGAGCGGTGGTACATGGTCAAACTGAATGCGATGGCTGAGGCTGAGCCGATGGCCTTCAGCACTGAAGGAGGAGAAGAGTTCAAGAGGCAGAATCTTAGAGAGGATGAAACACTGAGGTCCATGTTGGACTGAAGCAAGAAAACCATTTAACCTTTAACCTTTCTGCTCAGTGATCCGGTACCTTCTCACTGTTTTGTGTATTAAATCTGTTTTCACTTTACTAGGTTTAAGTATTGAACTCCACAGAGAAGCAAGAATTAGAGAATAAAAAAATATTCAGACCTCAAATGACACTTAAGTACTTACACGTAAATGTACTAAGTTACATTAAACCACTGACTTCTAGACCCTTTATATCCTCTTTATATGCTTTATACTCCGATCTTATTTTAAACGTTGTGAAACTCTCAAATTTGTTCTTGGAAGTTTTCTGCCCCACATCACCACGACAACACACCTGTAATAGGGTCCAGCTGCCAGCGCTGCAGAATGATGGTGAGCATGAGCACGAGCTGAGGGCTGCTCTCCGAAAACGCCTCAATGAGCCGCAGCATGCTGAGGTCGTGGCTCAGGTACACCGCGACGTCCCCGGGGTTCGAGACAGAAACCTCAATGACGCCCGCATGCCTGAGAGGAGAGAGAACAAGTTAATCCCACGATAAATCCTTTTTTATCGAATAAATAATTTCAGAAGAGATGCACATTTATGTTTACGTTTTACATTAAATATACTTTCTTAGTTCAAGTTCTATATATGTGGTCGACATCAGTCAAGCTGTACAAACTTATAAAGAATATATATTGAGTTTCACTGAACACTGGCGAAACTAGGAAATCCATGTTAGAGAAGCTGGTGCCAGTCAACATTTGGCTTCTTTAGTGTCACAAGGGAGTAAATTTTAGTTTCAGGTCGTCCTGAAAGTTTCATTTGGGGATGAAAAGCAATTTAGTATCAAGAAAAGCCAGTTTTATTTCATAATATGAATACTCGAAGAAACAAAGTGCTTTGGAATGTGAGGAAATCACATCAGTAGGACAGGATGCACACTATAACCTGGTATTCCGTCAGGAGTACAAATACTTCCACATTTGAACGGGAGGGAAAATCCAGGGTGGAGCACGCAGATAAATATCCATGTGTAAACAATTAGTCTTAAAACCTGATATCAAACTGCTTAATTTACTGCATTCACACACAACTGGAAATACTGTGGGACACACAGGAGATACGATTATAATATGAATGAACAACCTGAGGTAGATTCCCAGCTGGAGCACATGAAGAAGCCGGAGCTGCCACAGACTCGGTCTGCTCTCAACCTTGGTATCCATGTGAAAGTCCTCGTAGCTGTACCACAGCCAACTGTAAAGCTGTGCAAGCACAGACGAGCCCAGCAGGAACAGCAGCAGGATACCAAGACTCACGTAGGCTTTTTCCCTGTAAAAACTCACAACTGCACAGATATCCAGGACGATGTCGAGCAGCAGAAAAACGAGACCCAGACAAGTGAAGACAAAGTCCACATGAGAATACTTAAACACAGCCATGGTGTTATTTATCTCTGTAACAAGTTGATCTGAGAGGAGCTACATGCCGGAACAAGTTGTTGATACTTGCTGGAGAGAACGACAACTGAAAGTATTCTGAGAGCAAAGTTCAGTGTGGGAACACTCCGACCCCTCCCACATAACCACTCCCTCTGCACATCTTAAAGGCATACTGTAGAGAACCTGTGGAGCATTCATGTTACGTCACTTTACTGTGAAATAGGAAAAAGTGCAAAAACACAAATTTAACAGTTCGAACAGGTGTTTTTTTTTTTGTTTTTTTTTTTTAATAATTGCACGTAGCAAATGAGATGAACATCCATTCTGAACATTTCTGAAACGAATAAACTAAAACAGGTTCGACATGTAAAAATAACACAAACCAAAAACAACAATGGCAACAGACTTTTAAAAAGATTTCAACAGAACACCTAGAATAATTGTTCAGCACAGTATGACCCATAAACATGAGAAGAAAAACAAACCACAAAAGTTTGTTTTGTTGAGTTTTGAACTGAACTAGGAAAAAAACATTTGTGACAATTAAACAAGAATATGACTTTGTGACACCAACAGTTTGAGTGATCTGTTGTTAAATGTGTTTTCTGTCCTTCAGAGGACGCAGTATCAGGACACAGAAAATCTAAATCGATCCACATTCAAGGTCCTTCAGAAAGGTTCTAGTGGTAGCAGCTGTGACACAACCCAAAAGTACAATGCACATCTGTTGTCACGTGAACCCATTAATAGTACGATCGTATAATCTAAAGTCAATTTCAAAAGTAACTCAATTAGAAAGTTTGCATTATGGAAAAACAAGGTGTTGACACAACAAATCTTTGGCAATGTGCTAAATATGAAAAGATAAAAAAGTAACATGTTTAAGTTGACTCTGTATCAAAGATATTAAAATACATTCACTGGTAAAAAAAAATCTGTCAAATGTGATTAGCATTTTTCAAAAGATTAGCTTATATTACAGTAACTTCAAGTACAGTTGAGATATATTGCAGTGTTTGTATTGAGCCTTCGTAAATATTAGGTGTTTGTATAAAGTACCTGAATCTGTTTTTTTATTTGTGAGCTTGTTGGTTCAAATCAGGTCAGATATAAAGATGACGTCATTGACACGATGGCAGTGCTCGCATCGAGGATGTTTTGGTTTCACTTCGTTCCTTCTTCATTATATCTGTGGTTTAAACTGAGCATAGGAAACAGAGTTGGACTGATGGAGATGGACAACACTCCATTTATCAGTAAAATACGATTTGCTGTGACATCACAGACATCATAGACATCATGGTGATTCTGCTTTATTGGTTTTGTCCCTCTGTCCCAACGACTTCCGGCTCAGAGTAAAAGTTTGAGGCGTGGCAGGCCATCCGTTTGTTTAACAGCTGGGAGGACAGCGTGCCGTCCTGGATGGTAATGTCTCTGAAGGACACTTCAGCATCAGGCAGATCATGGGGCAGCCCGGGGTCCCTCATCGGGGGCCTCCACAGTTTGGGGTGGAAGCAGCAGTAGTAGACGGTCTTGAAGAGCAGTCCAAGGAGGTAGGTGAGAGGTAGAGTGATGATCAGAGCCAGGGCGTAAGACTCTGTCTGGACAGGGTCTCTGTAGCACCACCAGGTCACCAGCAGGATTCCTGCATCAGTGGTAATGAAGGAATGGTAGACGAGGCTCCTGCCTCTCGTCCGACCCTCTGCTACATTGAACCAACTGAAGTACCAAATGAGTCCTACGGTGGCCCGGTAGAGCCACTCGCCACCCACACTGTCCATGAAGTACGTCCTCTGTTGCCAGGCCCACAACACAAAGACAAACCACAGCATGAGAAAGTGGGCGCCGATGTACCCGGGCAGGACAGAGGCAAACAGAGCGAGCGCTGCCACACGGGGGGCGATTAGCAGCAGATTCCACAGGAAGTAGATCAAGGAGGAACCCCAGCCCTGCTTGGCTTTGTCTGGGAGGAAGGAGCGCAGGGAGCGGTGGTAGTCCACCACCATCCAGGCTATGGAGGTGGTTGACGCAGCAATGCTCACAACTACAAAAAACAGAAGTTCAACTATAAGTGCAGCAACCAAGAGGAAGTGAACATAACCAACGCACATGTCATGACCCTGACAGAGAGCTGTGAGAAACCTCAACCCTCTAGCTTTATTTGAGTCACGCTCAATAATGTATTTGCTTGTAGGTAAATCAAACCAAAGAGGAACTCACACTGAACAGTCCGAGCCTTGTTGGTGCGCAGCATGACATAGATCATGAGGGTGAGCTGGGGAGCGCTCTCACAGAACGTCTCGATGAGTCGGAGCATGCTGAGGTCATGTGTCAGGTACACTGCGTACTCTGACCCTTCCTCTTTCCGCCACCAAACCCTGAAGCCTTGGCGTATGGCGGAGATGTGCCTGCATGGATGAACAAGTCAGAAAGGAGCTGTTGCATGATTCAGACTGTGAGAATGTCACAAACCAAACCCACGCAGCTTCTCCAAAGAAAAGAAGCAATAGCCCGTTTAACTCACTGCATTTTAAGAATCTAATTCTCTTCTGGTTCACTAGATTTGTTAGTTGCCAAACCTGATTTACATTCAAAACCTGACAAATATCATTACTTGCTTCGCTGGTTGAGTTTCTCTTTGGGAGTCATAAGCAGAGAGTGAAATACGGAAGCAGAGAAGGTGAAATAGTGGTGAAGAAAAAATAACAGCAGCTATTTCAACCAATCACTTAGGAAATGTTTGAAGTAAAATTGCCTAAAACTAAACTATTTGCATCATCGGACAAACACAAAAGAATTTGTATTCCTTATTTGGGGATAGTTTACCTCAGTGGACTTGCATCACTTTATTTCATGCTAACTACTGATGAAACTCATTTTTCCCTTGACAAGTCTGAGATAAAGTTCTCTAAACATAAATTAAAGAAGCAACTACGGATTTCATGATCAGCTGATTCACCAGCTGACACTTCGCATTGAGTTCATAAAGTATTAATAAATATAAAATTAGAAGTCTGATGTCATAAAACGTCTTGTTATCTTCAATCAACAGGGAGAATTCTGCAATAATTATGAGTTAGTGAGTCATTCTCTCATTAATTAGAGGCACTAGGTTGTTATTTTGAGGTACTACAGATACTTTCTATTCACTTTGAGATACTAGCTCATTATTTTTGACTAGCAGGATACTTTTAACATTTATATTATCATTAATATTCAGTCCAGACTGCTTCAGGCTGAAGGATTTCAACTCTTTTGAACTCCTGGATTGTTTGTGTGAAGTCAGTGACCCCGGGACTCACCTGCAGAGGAAGCCGAGCTGCAGCACATGTAACAGGCAGGAGAGCTTCACTCGGTCCCCGAACAGCACGGTCCCTGCTCCGGGGCGGCTGCTGAACCCGGGCAGCTCCCGGTCGTACTTCAACCAGAACCAGCTGAACATCTGGACCACGACCGAGGACAGGACCATGAGGCCGACCAGCACCGCGAACCACAGCAGGTCCCCGCGGCAGTAAAACTCGGTGGCCACCCACACGTCCGATCCCCAGTCCACCAGGAAGGTGCACACTCCGATCACCGAGAAGATGAAGTCGATCCAGGAGTATTTCGAGAAAACCGAGCGCTCCATGTTCGAGCCCCCGGGGGACTAGCCGACCTGTTGCTGCGAAGCTAGCACGGAGCTAACGCCGAGCACCGTTAGTTCTCCCCCCCCCCCCACCCACCCACCGCGAACACACACTCGCTCCTCAACCCATTGAAGGAGCAAGTTCTCTGGACTCTACCGACTGAGCGACCGCGGCAACCTCCGCCACCGGAGCGACATTAACCCGCAGCGGACGTTGGTGGAAGGAAGACGGCGGAAAAAGTTCGGAGCACCGGGGGAACAGCACCGAGGGGCGGCGGGTGAGCTTGAAACAGCTCTGCGTGTGTGTGTGTGTGCAGCCCTTAACCCCGCCCACCGCGGATTATACACGTCGAACAATTCAAGACCCCCGACGTGTTCCATAGTAAACAGTCTATAAAATACACTTATTATATTATATTATAATGTATAATAATGTATAATAATGTATTATAATGTATAATAATGTATAATAATGTATAATAATGTATTATACTGACAGCAGTTCTTTGTTTTCGACATGATGCCTCTTCTATTACACCTCGGCCCTCGAAATGACGTCACTCCCTAAGTATAACCCGGGTTAATTGCGTCCAGTTGCTCAGGAACAAGATTTACTTTAGCCCGCAAAAAAAAAAAAAAAAAAAAAACACTCCTCAACAACGCAGCGTCCCAGCCGTGCTAACACTCTGGACGCTGTCACTTATCCCGGTTTCGCATTATTGGCCCCCCGGGTCTATTTTTTTTTTTTTACCCTGAGGTCTTGCCTGCCGGTCACAAGCTGAGCCTGACAGTCTGAACTCGGGACACCAGAAACCTCCTCCCCGCTTCCTGATGAAGCCACGCCTCCTGTCGTCGCGACCTATTGTGTGAGTGGAAGCGCGTGCATGAGCCTCCGCCGTGCCCGCTCGCCTCAAGCTACGCTTAGCACACGAGCTAACAAGATGTCGCGGGTGTACATCGGCAGACTGAGCTACAGAGCACGGGAGAAGGACGTGGAGAGGTTCTTTAAAGGCTACGGGAAGATCCTGGAGGTCGACCTGAAGAACGGGTAACGACGCACCCGTCTGTATCTGACCTTTATCCCGGTGAAGCTAACGGGCCGCGGACACCGACCGCAGCACGGGCCTCCCTAACGGACCTAGCATGCTAATGCTACACCCGCCGCCGCGTATCTCGTGATTAAATCCGCACCGATGTGTTAGTTCTCGTCAAACACGTGTTTCTCGGTGTTTTATCGAAGCTCGTGTTGACATGGGCGACCCTCGCCGTGATCGTCGTTTGCTCTCCGCCGCGGTTAGCAGCGGTTAGCTTCACGTCAGACGTGGCAACGTAACGGGAGGTTGTTTGTGTGTCATGCAAAACTCGCACGTGTGAACGCCGCGGGTCGGAGAGACCCCGAGTGTCGTGCACATGTCGTTAAAATGTGTGAAACACGGCTTCTGCTGCACGCTCACACTTCCTCTTTAGCTCGTGCGTTTATGTGGTCAGACCTGCAGCGATTGGTTGACGACAATCTTCCCACTTTTCTAAACTGTGTGGTCTGATGTTTGTTTTTGTTTTACACAATCACTATGATTCAATCACGTAATGCTCCAACACTTTCTGTTAGATCTATATGTTGGGCCATTAACACTGCACCGTGCACTGTTTACATGTATATTTATGGTTTCTTTGTACTTTCATGCTTGCTCTAAATGATCTTTATATATGTTTTGATTCATATCGTAGTTATTTATAGTAGAGGTTACTCTCAATGTCAAACCTCGATTATATTTCTTTGTCAACAGTATCTTCAGAAACTGTGTCCTCCCTGTTGTTAAAAGTCTGTGAGCTTGAGTCTCTGTTTTGTAAACTGTGCTGTGTTGTAACCACGTGTCTCCCCCCCCCGCTGTAGGTATGGGTTTGTTGAATTTGATGACCCCCGTGACGCAGACGATGCGGTGTATGACCTGAACGGCAAAGAGCTGTGTGGAGAGAGGGTCATTGTGGAACACACCAAGGGACCCCGTCGTGATGGAGGCTATGGTGGCGGAAGGAGTAAGTGTCGAGAAGAGTATTTTCGTCATTTCACATGAATGATGTCATTTGGTGAGAGATTTCATTCATTACAGGGATTCATTGATCTAAATTTTAAAGGGGCAACATTTTTAAGCTCGTCCTTGGTGGCTGCTGTGCATTCAACAATTCAGGGATCATCTGGAAGTGACACTTGATTCTGTAGATGATACCTCGAGCGTAATGAATGTGTTGATATAGGCCAGGATGGTGATATATTAATACTGCAATACAACAACAAGTATTTTCCCATACATGATGATGCACAGACAATAATACATGGGACTTCTTTTCTTGGACCACAGACAACGTGAAACTGTTACTATCACCCGTACAGACCACAATGCCACCCAGAAGTCATCAAACTACAACGGGGTCAGCAGCATTTCCATATCTCTTCGTTTTAGGTTTTGGAAAACTCCGGAGTAATGTGGATGTCAAGCGCAACCATTGCAACTGTAACCGTAGTATTGTGGACGTCTCCCCAGTCTTATTGTCCTGGTTTCAATGACTCCTCCTGTTTTATGATTGCTTGTTTAGGTGTGTCTCAGTTTTATTAATTTCAAAGTTTTCTTTTTTATATTGTCATGCAAATAGGAGAGCAGCACTCACTACAGCGCTTAGCGGCTCTTTCATCTAATAGAGTAGTATAACTGGGTGGAGGTTTCCTAATCAGTACATGACATGATTTCATGTGTGTGCACCAGAGCCACCAATGACTTGACAATGTTTGGGTTTCCATGTGTTGTGAATATGTGCTGGGGAAATGGCTTACTGATAGAAAGGAATATAACTGTCTTGATATCAATATTGTAAAATAACCATCTGATTGTCAAATATCTTGTAATCTACTGATGTCTTATTCCATTTTTTTTTATTTAAAATGACTGTCAATTTAAAGGTAAAGATTTAACAAAGAACCTCAATGTTTTAATTGAAAGAGTCCTTTGCTGACTGCCTGCCCCTATTGCTGGCCATGGTGTCCCCCCTTTCCAAGAGTGTGGTTTGACCATTCTGGGCCCCTGGGCAGACCAAAAAAGGGAGCCATTGTGAATGAAGACCGCTTTTCCCATTAGGCCCAGGCCGGGTGGTGAGGATGCCATGGGGTTAGGAACAGATGTGGGTTCAGCTTTTATAGGTGCCTGAAAACAGAACATGTTTTGTAACAGTGAAATGTTTTAGATAGGTTAGCTTAGAAACTTGATTTAGTTCACCGTAAGTACTTCCTCGATCAGTTATGTTCTTGAATAAGATTTTTTTTTCTTAAGATTATTGGCTTATTGAGCGTTTCTAAACTTTTATCAGCTAAAATTGTTATATAGGTTTAGGCTTTTGATTAAGGTTTTTTAATTCATAGGAATATACTTTTTGAAGGATTTAAATATTTTTTTTGTAATTTTTTTTCCCTTTTCCCAAGAGAATATAAATATATTTAGTAGGGTCTAGCTTGGAGTGTAGTGTGACTGCATCATCTCAGTTTGTGTCTGGTCCTCATTTTTGCTGTTCTTTCCTTGTTACCTTGAAAGGTGGATATGGGCGCTGGGGAAGAGACAGATATGGTCCACCGATAAGGACAGATTATCGGCTCATTGTTGAGAATCTTTCCAGCCGCTGCAGCTGGCAGGATTTAAAGGTAAGACGTTTGGTGTTTTCTTACACAGATGACGCAAACTAAAAACACAGAATTTACAAACTGCTTTGACTTTTAGATTAAGCTGATTGTGATTTTTCCCCGTCTCTGAAGGACTACATGAGGCAGGCAGGGGAGGTGACTTACGCCGACACCCACAAGGGCCGGAAGAATGAGGGGGTGATAGAGTTCAGGCTCTACTCTGACATGAAGAGGGCTCTGGAGAAGCTGGACGGCACAGAGGTGAACGGCAGAAAGATCCGGCTCATCGAGGACCGACCGGGAGCCAGGCGCCGCCGCTCTTATTCCCGCAGTCGCAGCCACTCCAGGTCAGACACATCACTGCAGTTATCCCTGACTTCCTATCTATATATTTTTATGATTCCAAACAGAAAAACAGCCTGTGAAAGTCAGGCTGTACGTCACAGAAACAAATAGGTGTGAACATTAGAGAAGGTAAAAGAACGCCATAAAAATCAATGTTGACTGATTTTTGCTGACCGCCCCCCCCCGTCTCAGGTCTCGCTCCAGGAGCCGCCGGTCTCGCAAGAGCCGCAGCCGCAGTGAGAGCAGCAGTCGCAGCCGCTCCCACTCCAGGTGAGAAATCTATCAGAGGACAATATGGTCAAGGGTGTTACTAGATATGCACCAGTCTGACTCTTACTTCAACTCTGGGTATCTGCCTTTTCCGATCTGATACCGTTACTGAATTTCACAGTCTTAAATTTCAAGAACGAAATATAACATTTTGTTCTGATTTTTGTCCACAGGGCAGCATCACAGTCCCGCAGCCGATCTCGCAGCAAGAAAAATAAGGGTAAGATCAAGAAGGAGGAAGAGGAGCGCAGCAACGGTGCTCAGAAGAACAAAGATCGCAGCAGGAGTCGCAGCCCCAAAAGCCGCAGCCCCAAGAGCAAAAAGAGCAAGAAAGACGGGAAGAAGATAAAGAAAGAGGATTCCCAGTCCAGATCCCGCTCTCGCTCCAGGTCTCGTTCTAGATCAGGAATGAAAGATCGCTCTAGGAAATCTGGCTCGAAGGACCGCAAGCCGCCCAAGAGTGACGACGAGGCAGGCGAGCCTGAGAGGGGCTCTCGTTCCCGTTCCCGCAGCCCCGTCGATCTCAAATCCAGAGCCAGGTCCAAATCCAGGTCTAAATCCAAATCCCGTTCTCCCTCACCTGCCAAAGCCCGCTCGCACTCCCGGTCCGCCTCACGATCAGAGTCCCGCTCAAAATCCCGCTCCCCGTCTCGTTCTCGCTCCCGTTCCTAGTTCAGATCGTGGACTGTTTGTCATGAGCCCTTATCCCAGTGTCTCCCGCTGTCCTTCATCTACATTCCCCAAACCCCCAAACGCTGCCCCGCCTCCTGTTTTTTGATAAATAGCTGTAGAAAACCAGGCACTCACGCTTGATGTCTTTTATGATCATGCTACTCCATTTCATTTGGTCCTTACTCAACATATTTTCTCATTAGAGACGTCTCGTACGGAGGTGTTTGTATAATAACAGGGTGAAATCTCAGTTTTATAAGTTTAAATGATGATATGGTGTGTGTGTGTGTGTCTATGTGTGTGTGTGTGTGTGTCTTTAGCCTTTTTTAATCACATGTAGAAGCATACTGTTTTTTTGTTGATATGCTTGGTGGGAACATGTTGTGACATCCCACCTTTGTGAAACCCTTGTATCATTTTATTTCAGATTAAAAAAAAAAAATACCAGCTCTGGATTTGTTTTTGGATCTGTGGTTATTTCTTCTACTGGTGACAGATTCTGAGGCACGTCGGACTCAAACAAATGTTAGTCTGCAGATTTGATTCAGTTTGACTGTTTATTTGTGGGTACACCGTTATATCGTAAAAACAAACAGATGAACTGATCACGTTTGGGTGGTCAAGGTCGTGGTGGACTCAAAGATTAGATATCAGTGGCCAAAGGTCTCGGTTATGTCACAAGTCTCAAAGAAGAAATGGATGGAGACTGACACTCTGGTCTGGTGGAGCCATAAAATGAATTATTAGTTGATTAAATTGCGGTGGTTGAGGCTGTTGCCCTCATAGGACATTTTACAGCTGGTGTGAGTTTCACCACCAGCAGCCTTATCTGCCGATTTACTACCTGTGCTTTCGTTGGCCTTTGTCAGCAGGATGACTCAAACGACTTAGACAACTCTCCTGAAAGTTCGTGGAGGTGTGGGGAAGAACCCATTTACTTTTCATGGATCCATGTGAGAAACTGTAGCTCAGACCGCCCCTCGGGTATATTTATAACATTTCAACAATCCCTCGAAAATCATTCATAAGACACTGTGTGTGATCTACTGGTGGGCAGTTCGATCCCCAGTCTTCCCACCTGCACGCCGACAGGGCAAAATGATGAACCCGGAATTTAACCCTCAGAGGCCAGAAAAAAGTGCTGCTAATAGATGCACTGTATGAATGTGTGAGTGACGTGTACTGTAAAGCACTTCGAGTGGTCATCAAGACTAGAAAAGTGCTACATAAATACAAACCATGAGACTAATTAGTTAAACATCTGTTGGCTAAAGCAACCTTCAACTACATGAATTCAAAAGTGATATTCCTTGAAAAAAAAAAAAAAAAAGCCTTTGTGACTTTAGCTTCACATAATTGGGATTTTGTGTCCAGGTCACTCTTGGCTGTAAGCTGAGAAGTTTCTCATAAGAAAACTTCATCTGTTCATGTAAATACAGTAATTTTATAGTGTACATTAAGTATAAAATGCATTTCATTACACAAACATTGAAGAACCGTGCTGACATTCTCATGACGCTACATCCATCATCTCCAACCTCATTCAATTCTACACATGTGCCTCTTTTTGGAAGTCAAACAAAATATTCCCTCATCTGCAGTTTAATTTGATCTATTTCAACTTGAAGAGAAACCTTATACTGACCACGTGATTCAGTCCTGGTCTTTTAATAAGCGAAGCTCCTCTTCATCATGCCTGAGTGAGGACATGCAGGCTGTAAACATCTGTTAAAACTGTCCATGTCAGTCGTCGTCTTCTTCCTCAGAGGAAGAGCGCGTCACCCCGCCGCTGCTATCTCTGTAACATCGGGCCAGCAGACCCAGCTGCTCCAGGGCCTCCTCATAATCAGCCAGTTCAGGCCCCTGGGAGAGGAAGCTAGGGGCCATACGGCGGATGTCAAAAGAGCTGGCACCGCGATGCAGCTCCGATAGCCACGTGCCCAGTGCAGGCCCAGACTGAAGGGATGTCAAGATTGGTACCGATGAAACCGCTGGCGCTGCAGAGAGGAGCGTTTAAAGACAGGACACATTCAGGAAATGACAAAAAGTTATTGCAGCCAGTAAAGTAAAATATATAAATGTACTCACAGCCAGACGGAGGGGAATGGCTCTGCAGGAAGCCTTGAGAATTCAGGGACTGGCTGAAAATCTGAGGGAATGGTGGCGTCAACTTACTGGGAGTCGACACCAGCTGCAGAGTGCTGTGAGAGCGAGGAGGGAGAGAGCAGCAGTTCAAGTAAATGTTTTCCTATTGGGGAGAAACAGTGAAAACAATTTGTCAGTGTCGGGACTCACAGAGGAGCTGCAGGATAGAAAGATCTGATGTAAGATGACAGGACGTCTTCTCCGCTGTGGAGGCTGTGCAGAGGAGTGGGAGGTTCAGTCCCTGGAGCCTGAGAGCTGGATAACAGAAGATCATTATTTCAGCAAGCTGATGAATGAAGCGGCTACGAAAAATACGACGTATAATAACAAGGCGTACATAACATTCTCACCTGATCAGCCTCTGGTCCTCAAAGCCTTTGAACGTCGCCCACTGGCCGTAGCATTGACTGTCGCCTGGTTCGGAGCACGCTGACAGAGGCTTCCAGGGCAGAGCATCTGAACAGGCACTCAGGGCGTCAGGGAGAGAGCTGCCGTGCATCATGGGAAAGGGGACGGCACCGTAGGCAGCCACCACCTATAATTTAAAGGATCCGATCACAATGACAGGGAACGGAAAAGTGAAAAAAGAGAAAGGTTCCTGCTCCTCGAGTGTTTATTTAATGTCGTTTAAACTCGTATTAAAGAAACTCTAAATTCACCTTTCTCCCCGAAACAGCCAGCGTGTCTGCCACCTGCGCCATGGGGACGCTGTTGTTCCTCAGCCTGTAGGGAACAGTGAGGGCGTCCAAAGCTAGAGCCAACACGGCGCTGGAGTGGAACCACAGTGACGGCTGGACGGAGGAAAAACAGGGACAGAGAAAAATCTTTACAACGAGACAAAATGACAAAATCTAAATCCAAACTAAAAATACATTTATCAAAGAGTCCATCGATCTTAAAATGTCCTTAACCACATCTTAACTAAAAAACAAGTGTGGTATGAAAGATGATTCTATTTATCATGAGTGTGTTTCTTTTAAATTTTAACAGTGAGATTGATTTAAAAGAACAAATCAATTAAAACTAAAGTGAGGCAGAGAAATGTCTTAAATCAGCAAACATAGATCAATAATATTATTACTCATCACTTTAAAAAGACTAAAACATGAATAAGAGTTTGAATAAAAACCAAGAAGAAAAGGCTCACATCATAATTGAGGTGAGGGAAGGTTGTGGGAGAGGAGGGACGTCTGCCCAGTCCACCGCGGAGAGTCAACGGGCAGAAGAAAGAGCTGTGATTGGCCAGTTCGACCGTCGCTAATGTGCAGTTCAGCAGGTGGTAGATGTCTTTCATCGGAGTCTGATGACAGAGAAATATAAAGTGTGAGAAGCCCAATGACAAAACATCTGATTCTTACACAAACTCGAGGCAAAAGTAGACAGCGAGAGACAACTCACTGAGTTTGGGTGACTGACGGGTGCCATGCCCCAGGTTAGGATGCCTCTCCCGCCGTAAGAGTCCTGTAGCATCTCCGTGACCTTTGACCCCAGCCCTGCAAACCCATCGGCCATGTCACATAACACCTGGAAGCCCTGAGAGGGAAACAGGAAGCAGAGGGAGGAGGGAAAATAGAAGATAATGTTTCTGAGAAGCAGACGGTGGGAAATTAAACCAATTTGCAGTAAAAAAAAAACTTGAATTACTTACTTCTGGTTAAGATAATACAACAAAAATGAATCATTTATTAAGCTGAACATAAAGAGAAGAGTGAAACACCATCGTTACCTGAAGGTAATCACACTCCTCTACAAAGAAGTGCAGTTTGTCCTCCAGCTCCTCGAGCACCGACCCCTGCAGGAGAGCTTCTCCCTGACCGAAGGCCTCCAGCCGATTAGCCTCACTGCACACACACACGCACACGCACAAACAAGAATCTGTGTTAGAGACTCAAACCAACCGCCAGAAATCTGCAAATGACCAAAACAAACTAATGGCAGGTTAGGTTAAGTTCACTCACTGGATAAAACACACACAGATCTGTACTTTGATTACAGAGAAAACTTGTGGTACTTGAATCAAGCTTTGATAATTAAACCCAGTGTGTGTAATTCAGTGTTTTTACATCTTAAGTCCAAACGTGTGTAAAGTCTGACATCTGCTGGAGAAAAGAAGATACTGAAGCATCAGTCTGCTGTTGGCTGGTTTTTGGTGCAACTTGATTTTGATCTCATTTCAATTATGACTTTATCTTTAAAAATTCACTGATGGAAATAGGCGTCCATATGTTTGTTTGCTTTTCAACACAAAAAGTTACAAGTGATAAAGTTTTCGGCCTCTGTTTTCAGCAGTAGATCACACACAGTAGATTCATTTTAATGTCCGACTTTGCACTTTACCCGTCGTGGTTGTACTGATGGATGACAGAGATGGTGCGAGGATGCAGGTGGATCCTGAGGAAGTCAGACCAAACCTTCACGTTGCCCTCCAGCCTGTAGGCCTTTTGGACTTGAGCCAGTCGACTGTTCACTGTATCCACACTCAGAGAACCAGCTGCTGGGAGATTTGTCAGATTGGTCACTGCAGTGCGACAGAAAGTCTTGTCAGCGGGTTGAAAGTGGGCTCGTTGAAGTTTTGCTTACCTGAGTGCTTTGAGCTGGAGGAGAAATCAGCCTTGGTGAGTATCTCTCCTTTCTGGAAGCAAAGAGCGCTGGTACTTAATTATATGAAGATGTTTATATCAAGTAGGAAAAAGCAAATGCTGGGGGTCAGTTTGATTTTTACATTAAATACTCACATCCAACTTTTCCAGATCTTCAAGAAAGGAGTTCTTTGCTGGGGGACTTTCTTCATGCATCAGGAGACTTCCTTCCCTGAAACACAAATACACATTCAAATGTTAAACAGACCAAGAATTGTTCAGACAAACATGTGAAGGCTTTCACAAGTGTAACCAGCCTGAATGTGCTGACATGTGAAGTGTTAAACAGTGCAACAGTCCCCTTGCACATTTATATCATCTTTGAAATGTAGATCAGTAATGAACCCACACATGAGCTCTCATTTACCACGTGACAGCTGTCATGTCTTTGCCTGCATCGTACAGACTTCCCTCCTGCCGCAGCGTCCGCAGACTTCCTGAAATAGAACGGGAGACGTGGTTATTTACACTGTAATATTGTACTGATGATAAAATAAATGTTTGAATTACCAGTAGCATCAATTATATCGTGATTTTCACACGAACACGCTAACTTGGGGGAAACATTTATGGTTGCCGCCACACTCGGAATGACTCGGGCTAATCTTAGAGATAAAAATAAAGCCCCACAAAAGCAGAGGGTGCTTCCAGCGTTCGTGAAAGCACGAGAGAGGTTTAAATTACCCTTGAGGTCCATGGCGATGAGGCGAGGAGTGTAGGTGACATGTGCGCCCCGAGTCTGGCCTTCACGAAACACGACATCGCTCTGGATCTCTCCCAGTGGCTCCTCTGGGCCGTAAGACAAAGAGGCATCCTGTGAACAAAGAGTGGATAAACACCATTGATCAGAAAGTGTCTCAGTAACACGACACACACACACACACACACACACACACACACACACACACAGTGCTGTGTCAAACCTTAACGCTCAGTGGATGTTTGGATTCTTTAGTTTGTGTGTAAAACATTAAACGACCAAAGCTTTGGTTTAAGTTGGATCTGTGTCTGTTTGCAGCACCTCGATGAACAACACATTTTAAAGCACAGCACCATTTTTACTATACAACACTGATGCATTGATTCGTGCATCACTTAAATGTCGCCCCCGGCAAAGGTGGAACTTATCTTCCTGTCGTCTTCTGTCTAAGTTACACGTCTCTCCACCTTGGAAACGATAAAGTCTTCAGCACTGTTTCAATCTGAGTGATTTCTCCGTTGGAGAATCTCGCTTCCTTCCGACAGGTGAAGTTCTTTAAACACGACACCTCACCATTAGCACCGTTAGCATCGCTTCCATCGTGAAAAAACAGGTTGTTGACACTTTATTTCACGCTCGAAGCTCAACTCTATCGAATCACCTGCCTTTTTAAATTATAGTCAAATGTTATAACGTTCAAACTTCAGCTGTTTTAGCGACGTCGTGCACTTTTTTTAAAAAATTTTTTAATCTGTCAACTCACGCCATGCTAGCTGGCTAACTTAGCTTAGCGTTAGCCGCTTCCCTCACCTGTAAGTTCCACCAGTGCGTCCCCACGAAGTTTGAATAGTGTCCGAGCTGAAGGGTGACCACTTCCCTGCAGGGGCCGCTCATCGTGACGCTCCTCAACGAACCGGGTCAGAAGACAGAGCGGCTGCAGCGGACATGTTCGGAGACCGGACACGGCGGGGTTCCGCCTCCCCCGAGGACGCGTTGATTCTATTGGCTGAGAGGAGAGCGAGGCGAGCTGTGATTGGACGAGCCGGTGACGTCGCAGGGATAGTTTGGTTTCACCGCGCCGTGGATCACACGTGGTGTGGTTCAGAATTATTATTGTTATTGTTATTATTATTATTATTATTATTATTATTACCATTATTATTATTATTATTGTTATTATTATTATTAAATATATATTGTATTTCCTAACAAATAAACCTTTGTTTAAATTGTCTTATAGTTATTTTGCATATTGTCATGTGTCATATTGAAAATCTCCATTTATGTCTCATAATTTATATCATAATTTTCGATAGAAATGTTTATATAGAGTCAGAATAAATAGTGAAAATTAGATTTCCCTAAATGAATCTCACTATGTAATAAATAAGTACAAATGAAATGCAAACTAGTAATAAAATATAACATTAATGATAATAATAAGGCCATGTGTCACAATAATGACCCGTATATGAGAATAAAATATATTCTATGGTGAAATTTGGTGTAAATGTAAATGTTCATCGTGGATGTTATTTACGTCTGAGTGAGTTTCTCCAGATCATTCTGGTGGTTTAATTTGTATGAAATGTTCAAACACGTATTAGATTTGATGAGTTCATTCTGTCAGATTAAAAATAAAGAAGACTTTGACACGATGGTGAAACAGATGTGAGCAGTTTAATCACATTATTGATGAGCAATGGTTTTCTACACGTTATAAGCAGCTGGGTTTTATTGGACGACACTTGTAGACTGAGGTGAACATCTGTCATGAAACAAAAACTTCTCATTTCATAGCTAATTAACTTGACTCATTAATAAACTCTTTACATGAACATTAACTGTCAGTCCGGACTCTTTGATGAAAGGTTATCCTGTGATCATGGAGACAAAAGGCTGAAACCAGTTGCGCACCTCCTCCATCTTCTCCTCCAGGGTGCTCCTCATTTCCTCAGCTGTATTCTCAATGCCCTCCTTGATGTCCTCGGCCCTGGACCGAATCGTGTCCGCCATGTTGTCCACCTGCGACTTCAGCAGGTCGTTCAGGGTGGTGACCTTTGCCTGTGCGTTGTCTCGCACCTGAGAGAAATAAGGCTCGAGCCGGGTCTGCATCTCCTCCATGTTGTTTGAGGTACGAGACTGAAGCTCCTCAAAGTAGTCGGCAACGTGGCTGAAGAAAAGAAAAAGGTTTTTTGGGTCACTGTCCATGTTCCAAAGAGAATTAGAAATGCTGTTCAAACATTATTCATCTGTATTTATAGTGTATATTCCTGCCTCTCTGTATTTTTCTCTGTTGTACTAATATATGTAGATTTTCTCTTTTATACTAATGTATAATCCTTATTTTTATTTTATTTTTTGATATATTTATATATATTATATATTTTCATATAAGCCATGACTTTTTCTACTACACCCCACATATGTTTTAACATTTCATTTATGTATTTTTATTTATGTTGTATAAACTAAGTCTTTGGTGAAACTGATCATTCTTCCCAGCAGAACCTGAATAAAACAAAAATCCTCAGAAGTTCACAAAACTCAAATCAAAAATCCTCCCAGGTTTAGTCAGTGAAAATCTCTGAGCCTCTCTCACCTCTTGATGTCCTGAGCGTCCTTGTTGAGGCGTTTCCTCATCTTGCGGGTGTAGGCGGACACCCTGACCCTGACGTCATCTGCGTTCTGCTCCATCATGGTCTGCAGCTCCAGGCTGTACTTCTCCATCTGCTTCCGGCCGTCTTCCATGTGGTCACGCAGTCTGCCGACCAGCCACTGAAGGTCCCTGCCCAGACGTTCTGCGGCCTCCTGGGTGTACGGAGCCAGCTTGGTCTGCAGGTCCTGTCTGTACACGGCCAGCTCAGACATGCTGTCCTGGATCAGGGTGCTGTGAGAGAGCGTGGGTGTTGTCATGAAGTAGACTATAGACAGAATATGTTGTTGGACGACAATGCAGACTCCTAATTGATTTAATTTGAAATGAATTAATTAACAAAGTGAATACAGAGGTCAGAGGTCACACTAAGTTAGACGTGATATTGCAAATAAACATTAGTTTGGTAACTTTTCCTGATAACACATGATGCGGGTTAAACTCACTCGAGTTCTCTGCTGATCTGGTGGCTCTTGATGTCCTTCAACATCTCGTAGGACTTGGGGCTCAGATCTGTGAAATAATCCTTAAACTTGTCCAGCGTGTCCTCCCAGGGATTGCCGTCATCCTGAGGCACACTCCTGGCATGGCAGCCTGGAGGGAGAGGAAAACAAATCAACAACAATCAACTCTTTCTAAATAAAACTCTAGCTTTTTATTTCTCTCTTTCTTCGGCTGGTGACCTCTCAAACAGTTCAGTGAAGATATCAATCAGACGTTTCTGAGTGGAAACTTACCAGACAAAGCTGCCAGCACAAAGATCACTGCAAAGACCCTCATGATGACCAGAAAAGCAGACAACTGAAAAAATCATATATAAATAAAGTTAAATAAGTTCTCTCAAACACTTTACATGAACATCAGTTATTTAGATTATTTTTATTACTATTATTTTTGAATAAACCTCTTCACTCCATCTGGTATAAATAAACTTTAGCTTTGGAACCACGCAGCTGTTTAAGAAATAAAGAGTTAAAGGAAAGTGTCTCACCTCAGGGATCCTGATCTGGGACGTCTGCGTCTCACTTCTCTGTATTTATACGCTCGGGTGGCGTTGACGAGATCCAGTAAACGTCCAAAGTTCCCAACATGAACTGTGCTGTTGTCATCTTTTATTGCTGTGGGTGTTAGTTTTGTCTCCACGTCGCACTGACGGTACACGAGGACACACGGGGGCGGGAGCACGTTCCAAAATATCTGATCTTTCAGTCTGTGATGAGTTGAAACCTCTGAATGACAAGTGGAGCAGTTTGATTTTCTGATATTTACGAAAAAAAACTGTGACTGCAGCAGAAGATAATCAGAAAAGTGTCCCTGTTCGTCACAAGCTGCTGATATGGCAGCAGGGAAAAGGCCGAAAGTCACCGTGCACATCACTGACCAGCTCATCTGGTCCATAGTCTGCTTTAACAACCGCTGCGACAAGATGGGAAATCTTCCATGGAACAACAGAACCTTCAATTAATCAATAACTTTATCGTCTGTAAAGATGGAAATCTACTTTTCATTTGACTAATTTGTCCAACAAGTCGTCTGGAATTCAGCTTTCACCGAACCGAACAACCGTGTGATCCAGAACCTTTCATCTTTCAGCATTCGTTCAAATCAATACTGACTTTTAATATTTGGGATTCCATGAGTTTTCGCTGCGCTCTGCTTTATTTCGCTGCCCTTAGAGATATAAACATATTTACAACCAAATAAATGGAACAGATAAGAAAATAAACATTTGTCTGGAGATAAGATTTAAAGATAAGGTGTTTTTTATTTCATTAAAGTTTTCATATACACATAAACACCTATAACGATTTGTCTTGGTCTTGTCTTGTCTTGTTTAGAACTTCCACAACTGTGACTAGTACTAAAAACTATGACGACAACTACTACTAATAATAATAATAATTCTTCCTGTTGCCTCTTTAATTTCCAGCCTCTCTTTTATTGCTGCTGCTCTTTCTTTATGCTTCTGCTGATTTAGTTTATTTCTTTTTTGCAGAACCTGACGAAAGTTACACTGAGACTCGTTTATGGCCTAAAAGAGAAAATGACGACATAAACGAGAAACGAGAAACATCAGCACATGGGGCTGAAGTGACAAGTCAACAATCTGACTCAGGAATGCGAGCGATAAGACTTGACGTATTTAAAGCTCACTCATGTTACAGTTACCTGAAAGTTACCTCCTGTGAAACCAGGACAAAGAAACTGTCACAGTGAAAACGCTGCGTGTGATGAACTGAGCAATGTTGTTTTACTGCTCATCAATCAAACTCTTCATTAAGAAAAGAGAAGACGTGTTTTTACTTCTCTCAAAAGTTTAATTCTCTCACTTTAACTTCACTTTTCATTCATAGGAGAGTTTTTATAAAAGACTGCGATACTTTCCTTCATGAATTTACCGCCCCAGAATGTATTTTCCCATTTTGAATGGATGTGGTTGTTTTAAAGAAAAGTTCATGAAAACGTAAAATTCATTCACAGTGTTTAATGTTCTTTTATATTTTATAGTTGTAAACAGTCAATACAAAATACTGACATTTTTCAAACCGAGCATAAAAAACATAGAAAACGAGATACTGCACTTTTTCTTTATTCTTAAACGTCAGCGCTGCCACGGCAGAGATCAGTGGTGACATGAGAAGATCATTTAAAACCTACAAGATGTTTCACTGGGTCAGTTTGGTGAAGGACTTCCAGAGAGCAGCCAGCTGCTTCTTCAGCTGCCGTGTGTCTTTGTCCAGCATGATCTTGAGCTCCTCTCCGTACGGGGCCAGGTTCTGCTGGATCTCCTCGGTTTTCTGGGTCAGCTGCGTCTGGAAGCTCTGGGCCACGGGCATCATGCTCCTCTTAAACTCCTCCAGACTCTGCTCCACCTTGTGCTTCATCTCCTCGGTGATGGGAACCATCTGAGCCTGCAGCCGGTTCACGCTCCTGTCCAGCTGCTCCTTCAGCTCCTGGCTCTTCTGCAGCATGACGGCCTTCAGGGACTCGGGGTCCATGGCCTCAGCGTAGGACCCAGCGTTGTTCTTCAGCTCCTCCACCTGCTTCTGGAGGTCTGACGCCAGCTCATCGGCGTAGGGCTGCAGGTTGGTGCTCACAGCGGTCAGATCTTTCTGCAGACGAGCCTTCAGCTGCTCGGCCTCCTGGGTAAATCTGGTCATGAGTTCCTGGGTCAGAGGAGCCACCTGAGTGCGCATGGAGTCGGCGAACTTGTTGATGGCCTCGGTGCTCTCAGAGATGAGGGTGCTGCGGAAACACAAACACACTTTGAATATTACTGTGGTTTAAATTGAACTTCAAATTACAGCAGTCAAACTTCCACATTTAAATCTGATGTTGTTTGACCCTTTCATTAAATCCGATCTGAGTTAAATCCGCTTAAAACATAATAACTAAAGAAGCAGTGGAACTGTTTACAAAGTCATGTGTATTCAAGCCATTAAACTTAAGTTTGAGGCCTCAGTTCCTCTGTCTGACTTTAGAAACATCAACATGTTGAAGTTACGGAGCAACAGGAGCATTCGTTTCAAACATAAATCCAATATCTCTTTTTGCTCCTTTGTCGTTCTCGTCCAACTTCGTGAAAATATCTGGCTGCTCCACGATGTTAACCAGCAGCCGGGTGGAGCGGAGGAGGGGATGCATCGTTGGAAAATGATGCTACGAACGCACCGTAACTGAAAAGTCGTGGGTTGGAATAAACAATGAGCTGAGGCCGTCAATCCCCCGGTTCACGCCCCGATGTCTTCTGTGCTTTATCGTCTATTTCCAAAAGGAAAATCACGCCGTGTCAACGAAGACTTGAAACCACAGACTGAAAAATGTTTACTGACGTCATAAACGAAGAGAGAATCGTTTTCTCGTAGACTTCTATAGAAATTGACTTTTTTTGCAACCAGTGGAGTCGCCCCCTTGAGGTCATTTGAGAGAACACAGCTTTCAGGCTCTTCTGCATTGGCTTCACTTTCTGCTCCCGGGGGTCAACGTCCATTTTACACTTTTTTCTAAGTTCCTCTTACTTCACTTCCTGTCCCAGCTCAGACTGTTGGATCTGCTTCAGCGAGCCCTCTGCGGTGACGGTTGTCTTGGCGACGTAGTCCCAGAAAACATCTTTCACCATGTCCACCTGGTTTCTGGGCTGCTGCATCTTCATGAGGTGGCCATCGCAACCTGACGAGAGGACGCACTGCCATTAAACACTCCCACCTTTAACGACGCTCACCTCGAAACTGTTGATTTTCACCCAGAATAAGAAAACTCACCGGTCAGAGCAGCGAGGACGAGCACCACGAGGAACTTCATGGCTGGAAGGAAACGTGCAGAATGAGTTGTTTGGTATTTCCGTGTGAATCTCGTGGCTTCGGAGGAGACACCTCGTCGCTGGAGTCTTACCTGAGCTTGTTGTTCTGTCAGGGAGATGCTGAAGTCTGCGTCTGTGTCCTGCACGGCTCATGGCTGAGGTTATATAGGCGACCGAGCTGTATGGAGGAGCCAGAGGAGTAAAGTCCAGCGCTGAGTGTCGTGCTGTTCTGCTTCCACATAACTGCTGAGGTCATCGTCACAGGTCAGACGGCCTCTCGTCTTTAACTGGAGACTTTTCTGTCGCTGATCCCAAACTCTGGAATTAACTCTCCTCCCACATTGATCCTCTTAAATCCAACCTTCTTAAATCTTGCTTTTAATTCAACCGGATTCTGCACATGTCTGTTGTGACTTCTTCTTCTTCTTCTATTTATCTGCTGCATTGTTTTTAACATTAAGTTTTCACATTGTGATTTTAAAGCACGTTAGCTCAACTCCTGCAGTTTTTAATGTATAAATATAAACCTGAACATTGGTGAGTACGGGACGACTCTTATTGTCAACACTGTTTGGAAAAATCAGGTTTGTTATTTCTCTAATTCACTTCTATTGTTTCTCTTGATGGTTTTGTGTTTTTTCCAGTTTTATGAGAGAAATATTATTTCATTCAGATGTATTTTCTGTATTTTCTTCCTTCGTTTCTCATCCGGAAGTTTTTATTAGGAGGTTTTTCCTTCTCTGATTTGACGGACATGTGGTTTTAAAACAACCTACCAAATATTGTGTATTTTTCCAAACTAGAACAGCGATATGTGATTTTTACGATTATTGTTATATTTATTACCATACACTCATTTTGATTTAAATAACTAATTTAATATTTGTTTCCATTGTTCCCTCTATAAACGTACATTTTACAGAAATGACCTGAACTTTACTCAGAGACGCTTCTGTTGTCGGAGGTTTTTTAGGTCAGTGAGATGTGGTTCAGGACTTTGATCCAGTTGTTCCACCTGAGCTGCAGATTATCTGGACTGAAGAATGTTTGATTTCCTCATACTGCTGCTCCCTCCAGATAAACGTTCCCCCTCAGATAACCCACAGTTTTCATACAGAGGCCTTGGTATTGTAGTTAACAGAACAGTGAAGGAAACAGGGATTTTGTTTTTCCAGCTAAAAGAAAGATAAAAAAAAAAAAGGTTTACATTTTCTGAGCTTTTCACTTTGGTGAGATTCTTCAAATAACTGTTAAATACATCGAGTGTTTCCTTTCAATGTGACGTGGTTTTGTGTTTTTTTAATCAGAAACATACAGTTTACTTTGCGATCCTTGTTCATACGGGATCTCATGTGTGGGTTATAAATCCCACCTCCTCCATGTCAGCGAATGGGACACTGACCAACTTGAAAAGTATGCGTTACATAAACTGTGGTCATGTTACCCAGACGTTTGGTCGAGTGTTTGTGTTTGTGATAAGTTTGGTTTTAATTTCTTATCTGATGCTATTAAAAACAGTTTGAAACTGATTAGATCATAAATCAGAATCTGTCCGTCTGGGGAACGAGGACTTTACCCTGAAATACGACTATAAAAAGAATGAGCGGCCGTCTGAGCAGCACAGGTCGTCTGAGAGACAGAACAGAAGCTGCCTCTGGAAGGTAAAAACATTTTATTATTTAACATTTTACAAATTCGTGATTAAGTCGATGCTCAGTTTTTACATTTTCCCATCCAACAGGGGTCAAGTTCAATCATGAAGGTCCTCGTGGTTCTAGCACTCGCTGTTTTCTCCGGTGAGTAAATTTTCTCTGTGGATTCAAAGTTGGATCCAACGTGAACCACAGTCAGTGTTTTAACTCTGCTCTCACCTCCTTCATTCAGTTTGCAATGCCGACATCCCGAGCCAGGAGGCGCCCAAGATCGACCTGGAGAGGGTGAGATACGCTGCCTGGGACTCATTTATCGACATGACTTTCGCTACTATGGAACTGGTGGAGAAGTTCAGGAAGACTGAGCTGGGACAGGACGTCGAGTAAGAGTCTCAGCCATAGTCTGTATAAAAAGATGGACGACGTGACGGCTCAGTAAAGGTGAAGCCAAAACGTCTTGTTCGCCACCTGGTGGATCACTGCGGTATAGGTCATAAACCCCACCTCTTCCATGTTAACAGATGGGACATGGGCCAAATTAAAGAATCAAAGTACACGTCAAACAATTCCTCATTCTGATAAGACTGAAGTAATTATCTGATGCTATAAACATGAGGTGAAACATCCTGATTGACTGATCCCGTGACTCCGTCCCCCGCTCTCTGCAGGATGGACAGTGGGAGGAGGAGGAGACATGTCGTCCATCTTTACTTACAGTCTCTGCTCTCAGCTGGATAGAGAAACCTTCTGTCATTCGAAATATCTTCAACGTGTTTGTTTGTCTGCCTCACAGGGCCAGGATCACTCAGAGCGCCGACTCAGTGAGCGAGTACATCGCTGCCCTGAGCTCTCAGGACTTCAGGATTCAGCTTAGCGAGGAGGCCGAGCAGCTGAAGGCTTATCTGAATAAAGGTCTGACCGTGGTGAGCAACACCATGGAGCCCATCGCCGAGGACCTATTGGCCAAACTCCAGACACAGGTGGAAGCCATGATCCCCAAGACCAAGAGCCTCCAGACGCAGGTGTCCGGGTAAACCCAGGAGATCTGGCAGAGCCTGGCTCCATACGGTGACGATCTGAAGGCCAAGCTGGACGCCAGCAACCCCTTCCACGGTGTAACTGTTTCTAAAGCCTCCACACCCCAACTGTTTCTTCCAAGTTTACTCATTGTTTATCTTATTAAATAAAAGTTGACTTTTTTTTCACAAATATTTCAGAGAATAATTCATGGATGAAAATCTGAGGACTGATATTTGAGAGCAGATCCAAATTAAAATCTGGATCTAGTGAATTTAAATGTGGTTTCACGAGGAGACTGTTGGAGTTATGTTCTCTCATGAATGCTGATCCAGTTGTTCTTAGCGATTTTATTCTATGGTTTTTTTAAACTGTATTTAGGAATTATAATAATCATTTAAAGATTCTGTCTTCATCTCTAAAAAAAAGACGTGGAAGCAGATTCAACACTTTTACACAGGGATTCATGTTTGCACTGCATTTACATCCGTAGTGGAAATATAGATAGTGAGATGTGACACAAACCCCTGTTTGTAAGTTTGTTCTCACTGTGGACACCTTTGTGTTGATCATTTTAACACAAAGGTGTCCATTCGAGCAGAGACGAGATCGATTGAAGAATACGACAGAGACGTGCGGGTTTAGTAAGAAATGGTATTTATCCGTTTTCAAGAGGTATATACAGGTCTTATATACTGTTCCAAATGTACGTAACATAAAAAAGGCAACAGAACATGGGATGGATTGTGAATGTGACACAGTACAGCACACGCCTCCTGACAGTCTTCAACCAACAAATCATTGTTATACGAGCAAATGACACCGATTTCCTTCACTGCACGCCAACACAGACTTCACAGTAAAAAAAGAATAAAACTCAAAACAAAAACACAACAGGCAACAAACTCAGTGACAAAAACAAAGAGCTCTGTAACGTCTCTTATCGTCTTCAGTCTTTCTACTGGTTTGTCGCCACAGGCGTCAAATTCCTGACCGATCGCATTCTTCGTTTCACTTCTGATAGTTCAGGCGATTAAATGATTAAAGCCGTTAGATTTATATTATTACCGTTCAGTGTTTCTACTCAGCATATTTGATGAAATGTGATAAACACGATTATGGCCGAATCTGCTAAAGGAGGTCAGAGACAGTATGAGGTGTACAGCACATGGCAGAGTCTGTCCGTCCATCTTAAGTTAGTCCTTTCTGTGAAGTCCCGTCTGCAGGTCGCTCACCGCTCGGTGACTTTAACCGATGGTGACGCCGAAACCACACTGGAACTTGTTCTTGCGGTGGTTGAGGAAAGCGGAGAGGACGAGGGAGAGCGGCAGAGGGAGTAGCTTCTTTTCTAATGTTGCACCAACGATCCAGTTACTGTCCACTGAACCTGGCAGAGGCACGCAAACAACAATATTATTAGATGTGTATATGTGTATGATCAAGAGAAGAATTGGCAGCATTCCTTAACATGTTGAACTATTTCTGTAGATGTACATGAAACCTTAACATGCATGTCCTACCTTTAAATTGTAAATTGGCTTTAGGCACATCTAGCTGGTAAGCGAACGACATGCTGGTGTCTTGCATGCGGGTGCTCGCTTCAAACTCCACGCCGAGCTGCAACTGTTGAAGAGCAGAGCACAGTCACATCTGGATGAAGGTAAAATATGAAACTCTGGGAAATGAGGCACAGAGCATCCGCCTCTTCATACCATGAGGCCATCCTGTGAAATATTTACGGTTTGCAGATACAAGGTCGAAGAAATTACCTGGTCATTGGCTTTGTGGTAGTACGAAGCATGAGCTCCCGCTGAGCCGAGAGTCAATGTGGCGATGTAGTTACTGCCTGTGAAGGAGGAGGGCGAGAAGATAAAAGTGTTCTTCAACTCAACACGTCCAAGTGAAACCTCCATCTCAATGAATCTGAACTACAGACTCACCACCGCCTGTGTCTCACCTGTGTATTTGCCAACTAATGACATCACCGTGCCCTCCTCTCCAGGCCTGCGGTGGTAAACCATCTCCCCTCCCAGAGCCAGAGCGGGCGTTATGGACTGGAGGTAGTGTGTTACAACAATACCTGACGGGCAAACAACAGCAGGTAAGATTAGATCAATAGCTGCTTTCAGAACAGTTGAAAGTAACTTCCTGCAGACTGGACGACCGACTGACGACCTACCAGAGCCCACGAGGACGTCTGGGTTTCCAAGTGTCACAGTTGCAGTAAAATCTTCTCCCTTGAACTCAGCGTCGCCCTGCCAGTTCACAAACTTTTGTTGCTGTGTCTGAGGACGTGGCAGATTTGTACAAAGTTAGTCCAAATAAAACTGAAGTGTCCTGCAACACTATGAAGAAACATGGGAGACAATTATATAGAAATAAGTAAAAAAGATACAGCAGTCACATTTTGGAGGTATTTTAAATAAGAAATGACTTGAAATTTAAAAAGTAATTACCTGGAAGGCCACTTTGGATCGTATTCTGTTGGTGATCTGGTGG